GCTTGAGCTTGAGCTTGAGCTTGAGCTTCGGCTTCAGCCTTGGCTTTGGCTTCCGCCTTAGCCTTAACTTCCGCCTTAGCTTTAGCTTCAGCTTTGGCTTTAACTTCAGCTTCCGCGGTGCTTGTTGAGTCCTCCATGGGAATATCTTCTAATCCTTGAGTCTCGACCTTTTCCTGCTCCTCCTTCACGGGGTTCTTCTCTGCTGCCCTCGAGGGAACGTCAGGTTCCCTCGATCGTTCCCGTTTGGGCTCTACGGCCTGAGTGTCATCCCTATGACGGGCAGGAGTCTTGAGATCTTCCGAGGTTGGATGGCTCTTCTTCACACCTCCGTTGGTAATGTTAGGTGTACCATCCTCCGACAGCACACGTCGTTTCTTCTTCTGGGTATCGCGCGGGTGCCGTTCGGCATCGGTATCACGGGATCGCGGTCGATCGGGACTAACACTGCTGCGTCCGCGTTTCAAATGCGGCGGTCCAGGTCTGGAAGTAGCGGATTCGGAAGGATCGGGGCGCGTCTTGGTATTCTCATCTCTCCCCGAGATGGATTCGGGCGGGGGTAAACTAGGGACTCTCCTATCACGGTCTGGGGGCCGTCCGGCAATTAAGCGTCTCCTCTTGGGCGCTTCATCGCCACGACTGGATTCGCCGTCCCTCGCAGAAGATCCCTTGAACCGAGCCGGTTCCGAACGCGACGCGTCCTGGTCGCCTGCTCCAACATGGGCAACCTTCGGACGAGGTGCACTAGATTTCTCCTTTCCATGAGCCATAGCTTCTCTCCGGCGCTCCTTCGAAAGTGCATCTTTAGACGAATCTCGACGGCCAGGGCTCGCCATTGCTTTCCTAGGCCGACCTCCCGGTGACGGTGACTCTCTGCGGCCGGTTCGCTTGCCTTCCTTCTCCCTTTCACGCACTCGTCGCGGAGATGAGAATTCGGCTTTGCGCTGCTTCTTTGTCCGGATATAGTCGTCGTATGCATCACGCAGAAGATCGTATTCTTCCTCCCAATTATCAGCCCTACGCTCCCGAGACAATTCGAAGTAGGTACGGTCCTTGTGGAGACGGCGAGTCGGATTGAAACTTGGTTGAGCAAGGAGCAGTTTGATCACGGGAAGGTTGCCTCGGCCAATCGCTGCCAACATAGGGGTGTTGTATCCCGGCTTTTGAGAGCCGCCCGGTACAGGATCTGGATCCGGATCTGCATCGCCCATGCCAAGTAGAAGGGACAACACTTCATCGTGACCACCTTTGGCTGCGGCGATCATAGACTCAGGATCCGCCCTTTGCCCGACATTAAGAATGTTGGCTACTCCAGCGATATCGCCCTTGGCAGCGAATGCTTGTAGATTCTCTGGTGTAGCCTTGGTCCACAGTAGATCATTCCGAGTAGCCTCGCTCCTGACACTCTTCCTTTTGCTCGTGATACCAGCATAAGGCGGACTTCGTTGTCCACTGACCGGTGGCGATTCACGCGGACTATTGATCGCAACCCGACGGGAGGACGTTTCCCTATTCCCAGATCCTGTTTGTTCTTCTGAGCGACGACTCGGGCGTGGGTTCGCCTTTGCTTCCTCAATCACGCGCCGGATCTCGTCGTACTCCTCCGAGTCTGAAGGAATCAAATCGCTGGGCTCGTCGCCTTCAGCATTGACTGCGCGGGGATTTGCACCGGCCTGAAGCAAGAGCTTGACAACATCAAGATGCCCGTTCTCAACGGCATCTATCAGCGGCGTGTCCCTGTCGATGTTCCTGGTCTCGACCTCACAGCCAGCCTCTAGCAAGAACTTGACAATGGACGCACAACCTTCCAGGGCAGCAATCTGTAGTGGTGTATTTCCCGCATTATCAGCAACATTGAGATCCTCCGGTCGTTCGGCATGTCGAGCCATGGCTACCTCCAACTCCTGGGCGGCACAGGCACGTGCAAGTCGCGTCCGGCCATTTTGATCTCGCTGTTTCTTGTGCCCCATAGGCCGTGCGGGAGACGCTGAAGCACCATCCACAGACGCAACCTTCCGTACATAGGCACTGGGCAAGGGAGACCCGCTGGTAGATGAGGAGACGGACTGTCTGTCTTCGGAACTCTGTCTGGGCACCCCAGAGATGAGCGGGGTGGGTGCCTTCCTCTTTCGTTGCAGATCGCTGCTGAGCTGAGGGCCGGATGCTGTCCGCTTATGAGAACGAACCGGTGAGACAGATCGATCGTTCGGTGTTGGGCGAGGGAGAGAAATCCCGTTCAAATCTCGTCGCTCCCGGTCGCGAGGGGCTGCCGAGTGATGTTGACGTGCATTTCGACGAGCATCCGCCTCCGCGTCGACACTCTCGCTGAAGCTGCGCTTCCTTGACGTTCTGGGGGCGGATGTGATCGGATGGGACGATTCGACTCGACTGGGCACCGTCTGGGGTTCCTCGGTCTTCTCAATCTTAACTATGGGGGCAGGTGGCGAGCCAGCCCTCCGCTGAGGGCTGGCCGGGCGCACCGGACGGTCGCGTTCACTGGGCACATCATCATCATCGTCCGCCGATTTCCGCTTTCTCACTTGCAAATCATTAGGAGGAAGATCGCTCTCTGCGGCATCAGCATGGTCATTTGCATCATCACGTCGTTTCGGTTCATGTTTTATGAACTTCCGTCTCTTCTCAGGCGACAGAGATTCGCGGCCCGATTGAATTATGGTTTCTGCCTCCGAGTCAGCCTTGGGGCTCGGTGGCCCATCGCCGTCCCCGACAGCAGGATCTACCTCTTTAGCGGGAGCATCCACTTCCTGAGCAACCGGGGGAGTGGTCCTCTTGGAAGGTGGATGACCCAAGGTAGACTGGTGGTTCACCTTGACAGCAAAAGCGCTTTGTCCGGCATCCAGGGAAGCTGGCAGGGAGGAGACAGCCTCAACATCACTCATAGCGGTAGCACTCGATTTCTGGGGGTTCTGCTCGTCATTTTCGGGGGCCGTGGCGGACTTGAAGACCCGTGGTCAGATACACCAGCAGTTGCGCGCGGAAGCTGGTGCTCGACCACGCTGAACGTAAATGAGAAGTGACAGCTTATTTCCTTTCACCGGACGAAAAGAAAGGTCGGGGTGGTAGAGAGCGAGAGCGAAAAGGGTGAACAGCCGGGTCGATTGAACAGTGGCGAGAGGGGCCAGAAAGAGGTCCAAGGTTGGTGGTGAAGTCAAGAGAGAGGGTAGCGACAGGATAGCAAGTAGTAGGGAATTCGGTCGGGAGGTGTAAAGAGGAGTCGAAGTAGTAATTAATCGGACAAGATGAAGGAGAAGGAGGGGGAGGGAGGGGAGGAAGAAGAGGGGAAGAAAATAAGAGTTAAGAAACTAAGCGGATGGTTTGGATGGGAGAGTTGGAAGGGGGGAAGAAGAAGTAAGTAAGTCGAGAGGACAGAAATAGTGGAAGAAAGAAAAGATGAAAGAAGATGGGAGAAGTTGAAACGGCCGACGGGCACTGGGATGGGCGAAATTACCAGGTAATGGCGGTCCCGTAGTGGAAGTTGGTAGCAGGACCAGGGCGGTAGGAGTAGTTCGCCGTCCGTGAAGTTAGTTGGGTCTTAGTGGATGGTTAGTGAAGATTTCTGGAGGATCCGGAGGGCGAACTAGCAACAAAAAAGGGTAAAAGAAAAAAAAAAAGGGATTCAGAATAATCAGAAGTTGTTATGAAAATAATTGTGACTAAAAAGAAAGAGAAACTGGAGAAATAAGAATACAAATAAGAAAAATAATATGATCCTAAATGACAACAACAGCAGCAGCAGTAGCAGCGACAGTCAGACAACAACAACAATAACAACAGTCAAGACCAAATAATCATAATAATGATGATAACAGTAATAATAGTAGTGCTCCCGTAGTTACTGGACTAATCACGCATTGGGGTGGAAACGACGACCCCGAGGGATGAATGATGATTGCTAGGAGTCATCCGCCGCCGCCGCAGCCAGCAGCAGCAGCAGCAGCAACAGCCAAAGCAGCAGCAAGCAGAAGAAATCAATCGATCGTTAGTTCATCGTTCGAGTCGTCATGGTCATAGTGGTCATAGTTAGTATTCGCCCCGGGAAACTTACCACCGGGGGCCTTGCCATTTGGCCACCGGCGGAGCAAATGCCTTTCGCTAGTTGGTTAGTCATAGATAGTCCCCCAGTCTGACCAAGTACGGTACAGAAATTCAGGGTATTGAAATTCATTTCGTGAAATTGAGGGGTGGGCTGCTGTTGCTGTTGCTGCTGCTGCTTCTTGCTGCTACTGTGGCCTGTGGAAAGTGTGGATTAAATTGAAAATAAATTCGATAAATAGATAGCTGGGGATGTGACAATTCGTGACCCGCCAAGTAAAGTACTTACGTTTATTCGAACCCCATGAAACGGCAAATGATGAGCAGTCATGGAGCAGAAGAGGGCAGGTCTGTGTTGATTATTACCACACTGCCGTTTTCGCAGACTGAATACGGACGCAGACGGGATGTATCTACCCTATAACCAGGTACTAGTTGCAACTATGACACCTTGGAAAGATGGAATGGATGGAGACCAGTTCAGCTACTGCTGACCAGACTGACTTACCTTCCTTGATCCTTACGTACAGCGGGGGGGGGGGGGCAACGCCAGTCACCATCCATCCAATCCCACCTCCGACGGACAAGTCCAGCTGCAGCCGTGATTGAAGCGACCCGACCGACCGGGGGAAAAGCCTGCTCTTTGCCTGCTGGCCTTGTTGGCCTTGCTGGCCGGTTCTGCCTGAGGGTCGAATGCGTCGACTCGCGCGACCCAGATCCAGAAACTCAAAAGATTAGTACACAGTTTTTTAGTTAGTTAGTATCCTGCGAGAAGGCCCAAAAGCGGGCGGGGATGGGCGGTCAAGACCAGTGACTCTGTCGAGGAACGATGTGGCGGAAAAAAAGATCTAACTGATTTTCCCTATTCATCTCTTTTCTTCTTTCTCTCTCGGTTTTCCTCTTCCTGCACTGGCCGGAGCTGACTGCATAGTAGCCGCCCTCTTTTTTTTTTTTTTTTCTTTTTTTTTTTTTTTTTTTTTTTTTTTTCTTTTCATTTTTACTTTTTTTGGTCGGGTCACTCACTCTTGCGTCTGAAACTCGGGCTCTGGAACGGAGGAGACGGAGGGAGGAGGGGGGACCACAGAATCGAAGGAAAAGGAAAGTGACGGGACGGGGGAGCCAGTCAATTGGCAGTCAGTGCCAGTTTAGTGGCAGATTGGCAGATGGGCAGTCCCCTCCCAATTCTCGTCGCCATTGGGTCATTTCCCTTGGAAGCTGCGTAGGCTATCAGGCTAGGCATCAGCTCATCCCCTGGTTTGACCAATTATTGATGGCCGAGCGACCCGGTTCTTGCTGTTTTCAGACTAGAAGGGTTCTGCAAAAAAAAGAGCGCGACCCACTGGGCAACAGCAGATCTCCTTCCATCCTCGGCTGAGACCAGTCATCGCAAAGGTTGCTTCCAGCTTATCGCCCCGCTTTGGCCCCCCTTCCTCTTTGCTGCTGCTGCTGCTGTTACTGTTGTTGTTGTTGTTGCTGTTATGTTAGTTTAGTAGTGTAGCTTGTTGTGGTGGTAATTAATGATGGTGGGCAACCTTTTTGGTTGGCGTTGCATGGGTGACTTTTTACTACCTCAATCCCCATCCATGGATCGTCCGAGTCCTTTGGGACAAAAAGGGGGGTCATGTTGTGTGGTGAAGGAGTGAAAGAGTCAAGTTGTCCGGTGATCCGGAATGTTGGATTGATCCAAATCAATCCCTATTTTAAATACCGAGTATGCTGGGGTAGTACACACGCATACACATACACACACACACACACACATACACACACACCGGACGGAGGAGGAGAATTGAAGCTCCTCAAGTCCTCTCCTCCCTCCGGACCTCCGATGACCCGATCATTTGGGAGGTCTGTTTATTGCAGGAGGATGAAGAGGCCGCTCTAGTCTCGGGTCTAGCTCGCAAGCTGCTTCCTTCTCACGAGACCCTGGTGGATCAAACACACGCCGATTCCTACTCGGACGGGGAGGGCCTGTTTATGATTTATGACTGCTCATCTCGCTCATCCCCTTGGCTGTGGAGTGGTTTCGGTGGTTTTTGTTCTCCACATCTCGAGCTTTTTGAACGTGTCGCATCATCATGACAGCCTCTACCCTTTGTAACCGTAATATTACCACTTTACCAGAGCCTCCTCTCCCTCGCCCCGGTGCCATGATACCATCCGGCCCGGGGCGCAGCTCGCTCTCTTTGCCTTTCTCTCGCATCCTCTCCAGCTTCTCTCCTTAGTGTTGTCTAGACTCTTTGTCACCAATTATAGGAGCCGGCGGAACTTGGTGTGGCCATTAGCTGTTCTCTCCCCTCCCCCCCCTCCCCTCTCCGCTGCAAAAGTCCTACTCCGCATTGGCGGCGGACTCCGGTCGCAATGGAGCTTCCCTTCAACCTGGTGGATACAGCTCTTTCCTCCACGCACATTGACGCCATCGACGCCCTTCGAGCCTTTTTTCTTTTGGCATCCTGCACGGTATGCACCGATATGTTGCCATTCCAAATTCGAGGCAGACGACGTTGCGAAATGACCCTGCATCAAAACTAAACCCAGAATATCCTACCTAGATCCTCTCCGTCAGCATCTTGCCAGATTCGCTTCACTCCCGCTTCATTCCTTATGGCGCTCGTACAACCTCGACGGCCGACTCGCAGTCCTCGCAGTCCTCACCCCCGGCGTCCTCGGACTCCTCTCCGGCAGCCCGCGCTCTTGACTATGCTGCCGCCTTGACAGTCCCTCACAGCTACTTCACACAATTCTACATTGCCTCCGTTCTGGCTTCGGTCTTCTGGGCTGCGCAGCTTTTGTGTCAGGGTGCTGTGTTCCAGGCCTTTGCGACGAGAATCAGTCCGGAACATATGCAACAGTCCATGTCGATACAGCAAGTCTTCTTGTGCTGGGCGCTCATGCTCATCCAGGGTGCAAGGCGGCTATATGAGTGCAAAGCCTTCGCCAAGCCTTCGGCCTCGAGAATGTGGTTTGTTCACTGGCTCGTAGGCCTTGCATTTTACCTAGCAGTATCAGTTGCCTTATGGATTGAAGGAGCAGGTACCACTCCGACTGACAGGCTAGTGTGCGGAACCCCACTGATCGCATCTAGGAGCCCTGCTGTCTCATAAAGTGATTCTCGACGACGTCAAGGTTACGATAGCTCCGTCTCTCCGCACCTTTGTCTGCATCCCTCTTTTCTTGATTGCATCGGGCGTCCAGCACGACTGCCACCATTATCTCTTCTCTCTGAAGAAGTATACCCTGCCCACTCACCCCATTTTCCGCGGGATTATCTGTCCGCATTATACAGCAGAGTGTGTGATATATCTCTCGCTGGCTCTGCTGGGCGCCCCCAAGGGTGAGGTCGTAAACAAGTCGCTGTTGTCTGCTCTCGTATTTGTCGTTATCAACTTGGGCGTCACCGCTGCGAACACCAGGCAGTGGTATAGGCGAAAATTCGGCGTGGAGTCAGTGCGGGAGAGATGGAACATGATCCCTTTGGTTTACTAGTTATGTAGCATGAGACCAGCGGGGAAATTGCCCCGAGACATGAGCCCCGGATGCCTCGCGTCACCGACTACCCAGGAACCTCATCGTATTCCCGAGACTTGCAACTTTGAGCACGTCTCGATAAGTCAAGCTTATCCTAGTCTCCCTCTCCAGGCAGCCGCACTCATACCTGTCTGGCTCCCTCAACAGATCCCAGTTGCAGATGGATTCTGCACCCAGCCCTTCATCCCTGGAGGTTTCTGCAATCCCATGCAGAAAGTCGGTATAGATACTCTTCGTGGTAACGAGCAGGCTGCGTCTCTCCTGCAGAATCCTATACACCGGACGCCGGCCATGTCCGTTCCCATCGCCGTCCTCACTTTTCTCGTACAGATCTAGCACGATAGGAGCACCCAGGCTCACAGTAGCTACGAGCGGGTAGTAGGCAGCACCGTCTTCATGCGGCATTATGCCCTGTCCCGGGCGGTATTCATTTACCAGAATATGATTCGGGGCGCGGTGCGGGGCGTCGGCGAAAAGGCCCAAGGAGTCGAAGCGAGGGGTGATGATGGGTGAGACGAGCCAAGAAGGCAACGGGGAGGAGATGAGCGCGTTCGATTTGGTCAGGGCCGAGGGCCAGGATTGAAGACGCCGGTGAGCTAGATGAGTCCAGCGGGGTAACGGCGCAGTCGTTATCTATAGCCGGGGTTCCAATGAGCGCCCAACCTCCCCACAGGGCCTGAATGAATTTAGGCCACTGCACAGTAAAGCCACGGTAACTCACTCACCTTTCGGAGGAGAAACTCCTCTTCATCCTCCGAGATGAAATCCGCTATGTAGAAGCCATCGTCCGGCAGTGATTTGATGCGGGCAGACTCAAGATCGGCTCTCATTTGCTGGAGTCAATCCCGAGGAGCACAACGGAGCAAATATCCCTGTTGTTCAATGAGGGGTCGGATGACGACTAGTAGTAGAGGATTAATCTATCAGAACAAGTCCGTTGAGTTGGTTACACGGTAAGCCGGACGATCAGACAGCGGGGGAGGTCACGAAGAAAGAAGGGGATCGTAGTGAAACTTACCGGGCGTTGAGCGTAGACTGGGAACCCAGACGGGATGAATAATTGGGGATGAATGGCTGATCTGGGAATAAGAAGTAAGTGATGATGCCGATGAATGGCATGGCGTCACAATGAGACGCAATGGCTGCCCACTTTGGCCGTGATGTGGTACGTAAGCGCGTAGCGTTTACTTCATCACAATAAATTGATGCCCAGTTACACAGTAACTGATAAGAATAGAAGTCACTTGCTCCTCACCTGACATGTGCTGACAGCTCATGACTCGACAAAAAAGCTTATCCGTTAACTATACTCCGGGACTAAAGTTACTTCGTTCGATAAACGATTATCGAGCTTCTTGTATATGACACTCGAGTAAACTAGCAAATCAGATGATTCCCTGAATGATGATGTGTGCCGCTACTATCAGTTTCTCAAGCTGTCTCTGGTAAACCTAATTCACTTAAGGGAGGTATTGTGTGGTGGACGTCCATTACTAAGTACTACCTATGTACTACTATAGTTCATCTTAGGGCTCCAATCATAAGCAAAATCCAAGCCACGATATGCTCGTCTGCAAGCTTTCAGCGAGCCATTAAATATCACCGAAGCTCAGACTATATCAGGAGGCATGGATTCAGTAGAGGAACAAAGCTATCGGTGCTCTCACTAGAATGGCAGACTACGTATCATTATTCTACTATGAACCCATATTATCATATCAAATCATGAACCTGGCTATTTACATCCCTTTAGTCATCACAAAATAAACCCAAGGATAATAAACTGTCTCATCGTCCACGGGATCCAGTATCAACGGGAGGTACATATTCCTCCATTCATCTTGAAACTCATTGCAGAACCACTCCGCATTCAGTTGTACCTTCCGGCACTTGCAATACTCCCAGTAAGCAGGATACCACCCAGACTGTGCCCAGTCAATAAGGGCAGCCACTTTGGGATTTGGACCCGGGGTTATCATGATATTAGGCGGGAGCAGGTCATTATGCGTGAACACAATGGGTGATACTATATCATCATCAATTTCGATCTCGCAAGCATCCTGGAGTTGCTTTACAGCATCTTCGCCTTGAAACGGACCAACCAGTTCCGGACGGTCTATAACGAAGATATCCGTCAGTGGATTCTTGTCTAGGTTGCCTGATATCATTGATCAGCTTCATAGTACCAGCCATGAGATAGTATATTAACTCACCAACATATTTATCCCGGGGATCCTGTTCCAAAGTCCGCAACAGCCCAACAAAGCGATGAAGTTCCTCACAGATAGCCCGTTTCTCGTCATCACTGAGACCACCCCATCGATCTGCTAAAGTAACACCTTCTATCAATGACATACATATGAAGGTCTGTCCATCATCTTCAGTCCAGCCAAAGATATCGGGAACAGTGATGCGGCCATGGAAATCCTCGCGTAGCATGATTTGCGTCTCGGCCTCGACAATGCTCACACTGAGACCGTATTTGACGACTAATTCTAATGATAGGATTATAACTGAGGGAGCATAGTTGAGGTTTGTGGCGGCAACATTGCCAGTCTTTACGTTGAGGTCTCGTACCTCGGCTGGTGATGGAAGCGCGGGGGCCCGACCCTCTTGGAAGAAGCTGCTTTCAGGGAAGATCATTATTGGGTTATGGATGAAACGAGAGAGATGGTGGTGAGGTTTTGTTTGGCTGTATTCTAGAAGAGTATCCACGGTATGCGAGAAGGGCTAAATTGCGTGTAAATGTCTAGGCTGAATATGTAAGGGAAGTTTAGGAGGAGAAAGAGAATAATGGTGCGTCCAGAGGCCTGCAGTGAAGGATCATTTGGAAGACTTAATAAGCGTTTCCTTGGAGACTTTTTTCTGTAGTGGTTTCGATTATGAGGGTTACTGTGCATCATTCAGATCTACGGTCTAGATCTACCAGAGCAGTCAACGGTGGCTAGTTATGTCTAGGACAGATTAGTTATAGTCATCCAAAGACACAGATATGAGGTGTGCAAGACCTATAATTATACCTCCTAGATACTGATCAGAAGCCATACCCCCAACTAATCAGCTAGGCACATTGAAGTTTAAGTAAGATCACTCACTCAGCGTTCAAGTACTTTCCGCAAAAGCATGCGTTGTATCTGCCTCAGGCCACCACCCCACCACAAAGCATCCCCTCGGCGGGGTGGGAATCATTTGCTTCGTATGCAAACAGCAAACAGCAACAGCAAACATCATCTTTCATTCAACCATCACCACTGCATCTTCCCCTTTCACCACGAGTCCTCGTTATATTCCTCACATACTCAACTTCAAATTTGAAGAAGTAATATACCATGGCACCCAAGAACAAAGGCGGCGACAAGAAGGGCAAGGATAGCGGAGACAGCAACAGCAAAGGCGGCGGAAAGGGTCTCAAGCCTGCGAATGCTATTAACGTGAGACATATTCTTGTACGTATCTCCTCTGTCTCTCTCCACTTCTTTGTATTTCTTTTGTTGTGTTGGGTGGTTGTAGGTGGTCTTCTAGCTTTGGTTTAGTGGTGGGATGTGTTTCTCTGCATGAAGGGGGATATACTACTACATTACTATCCATTCATCTAGGGATGAAGAAGAGTAGATGATGATCATTTCATGTAACAACATCAATCTACCAGATATGATAACTGACCAAGCTGCAGTGCGAGAAATTCTCCAAAAAGGAAGAAGCCCTAGAGAAGCTTCGCAACGGCGCCAAGTTCGACGAAGTTGCGAGGGAATTTTCGGAGGATAAGGCTCGGCAGGGTATGTATTCCTCTTGTTCTCTTCCATTCTATATTTAATTCTTCTCCTCCCTCGGGGTGGCTATGTGTTGGGTGATGTTAATGCTAAGGAAATTGGTACAGGCGGCTCCCTTGGCTGGAAGACTCGGGGCAGTCTGGATGCGACGTTCGAAAAGGCGGCGTATGATCTGGAGCCGAGTACGACGGGAAACCCCAAGTATGTGGATGTGAAGACTGGGTTTGGGTACCATATTATTATGGTTGAGGGGAGGAAGTAAGATATCACATTACTAGTATCTCCTTTTATTCAGTCATGTTAGGGCTAGGCTAGGATTGGTATGGATATTGCATGATGAAATCAGTTGATCAATCAATCTATGAGATCGGATCAGGTCTAATAATGAAACTATATGTACATATGCAGAAAGGTAATACAGATCTATCATGAGGCGAGTATATATCACCGCCTACTGCTTCTTAGCTGCCTTCGCTCGCTCCTTGGCTGCCTTCTCCTGCCGTTGGACGATAGCTTCAGCGCCAATACCGCCAAAGACAAGACCCACGCCCAGCCACTGACCTGCGGAGAGGGAGTGGCCGAACCAGAACACACTCAGGAGCATGGTCAGCATCTTGCGCGTGACCGTCACTGTGACCAGGAGCAAGGATGAGAAGCGCGACAGCGTGTAGAAGATGAACAGCTGTCCGATGGCTCCGCAGGCGGCGAATCCGAGCACGTTCTTCAGGGCTTCCGGGTGACGGGACAGGAAGCCAATGGCGGAGTTCAGCTCAGTTTCTGTGGATGGGGGAATGGGGAAAGGGAGAAGGTTGTGCAGGATGCCGGTGGAGGACAGATGGGGCATGATCAACAGGTAGCTGCTCGTCAGGACGGTCGAGAGGACATTCTGGGCAACCATCATTTGCGGTCCCGTGAAGCGCGTGTACAGCTGCGGAGAGCTGAAGACGTGGTCCTGGGTGGTGTTCGTGAGGCCGTCCAGGAGCAGGTTGATGGAAAGGAGGAAGATTCCCCATGTGCTTGAGCCGGACTGGCCCTTAGCGGCTGATGCGGCGACCTTCTTGCTGGTTCCGGGGTGGTGGAGGGTGAATGTAGCGACTCCGAGGGTGACCAGGAGAACGACACCGTACTTGTACAGAGGGTATCTCTTGCGGAAGATGGTCAGGTGCAGGAACATGACAGGCAGAAGCTTGCACGATTTGGCGAGGATGAAGGTGAGGTAGTCGATGTGCGCGAGACTGGCATATCCAAAGGGCGATGCGAGAGAAGAGGAGATGCTGACCAGGAGCAGGGGAAAGACGATTTTCTTGGTTGGGAAGGGAGAGGGGATCTTCTGGCCGGACGGAGTCGAAAAGAACAGGTACAGGAAGCCGGTGATGGCGGCAAAGGTCGACTGGATCGTGTTCAGGACAATCGAGTAGGTGAAGCGCTCTGTCGGTGGTTCGGGGACTTCAGCAGTCGGAGCATGAGTAGGATAGGATACGGTGGTGATGGCTTCTTGAAGCACACCCCAGGAAAGACTAAAAAAACTCGCAGTCAGCATTTTAATGACTTCAGGAGTTCTCGACACCACGAGCGAGAGACATACAAAGAAGCATAGATTCCAAGAACACAGATCGCAAGCTGCATCAAGCCGGGGGTGTCCGGCGCATTGTCCTGCGCCGCATGCTTTCCAGAAGCACTTCCATTTGTGACGGAAGATTTCCCATTCATCTTCTTATCCAGCGACTGCGCATCATCCGGAGGCATATGCATCAGTTCAGAGGACGTGGCGCGTTGCAAAGGCGCAGCTTGTTTCTGGCGCGCCATGGTCGACGAGGAACAAACGCAGCGCTTATACTTCGTCCAGGTTATTTGCAGAAAGATAAGAAAGAGGACGAGGGCAAGAATGTAATCAGTAGTGAATCGCCAAACACTGACAGATACAGAGAAGGTATGTGAAAATAGACAGACAGTCAAACAAAGCCTCGATGGAGCAGACAGTTGACTTTATAGTTGAGCAAAGAAAACGATGATGCCATGTGTTCTTCTGCGCGTCTCCAAAACCCGCCGCGGAATCTCGGCGCGATCGCCCTAATTTTTTTCTTTCCTTCCGCCCCGCCGAGTCTCATTCTTCGGTCTCACTTGTTCGACCCTTAATTTAATTCTAGAACTTCAATCGCGAACTATAGTTCCTACCTATCTACCAGTCCCAGGTAAGTCCAATTTCTCCATCCATCCTCTTTGAACCATAGCCATAAGCGCATACACAAACTAACCCCATTCGAATTTCCAGACTCCATTGTAGCTACACCTCCAATTCCGCCTCAACTCTACCTTATTACAACCACAACCACCACCGCCACCATGAATACCACAATACCACCACCACCATCCCAAGAACAACAACCCAACTCACCAACACCAGAAATGATAGCAACAACACCCCTCCCCCCATCCGCCCTCACAACCCTCCTCACATCCACCACAACACCACCACCGACCCCCCTCTCCGCAAACACCCTCCAAATCCTGCACAACCTCCAACACCAACACCTGTGGACCTCCCTGCGCGTGCACGACCTTCACCTCCCCAGCAACTCCGAACAGCAACAACCCCTCTACCTCATCTCCGGCATTCCCCCGCACCATCTCTACATCCACCCGGACGAGCAGCTCTTCATGCTGGAGCGCGGACTGCGCGAAGACGACGTCGAGCTGGAGCGCATGTTCGTCCTGCCCACGGTTCAGGGCGAGTCATGGACGCTGCGCAAGTTGGCGGGAGTGTTTGATTCGTTGCCTGAGGGTAGCGGGGAAGGAGAAGTACTGGAAGCAGGAGGGGCAGGGGAGAAGGCGGAGAGGTTGAGGGAGTATTATGAGTATCGGGAGAAGGCGAGGGCTACGAAGGAGTGGGGTGGGAAGAGGTTGTTGTTGGCTATGGTGGATAGGAGGATGGGGGGTGATGGGACGGTGGTGTATTATGTTGTGCAGGATGGTGCGGTGAAGCCGAGGCAGAATTAACCTTATGCTGATGCAGAGGAAGTGGGTATATACATGGGCTATCCGGGGGAGAAGGGAAGGGCATATGCTGCTGAGCGTACAGCAAGAAGCATCGAAGCAAGCGATTCCTTCCAATTTATCTTTACACCGAAGAAGATCGAATTATATACACGGATGACAGACAGCAACAAGAGACGAACCGGACCAAGTACCTCGCAGAGGCATTCGACGAAACGGACAGATGAGCAACTGCAGCCGGGTATCGTGGGAACAAGCAAGTAACAGGGACAGACAAAACAGCCATGCATCCTCAGCCATGTTGTGAAAAACAAACTACTCATGGCGCACCTAAGGGACGTTCATCCTCAATTTGTGCGTGTTCCGCCTGGCAGCTAGTGCAGTACGTTTCGTACCATTGCTGAACATCATCGGTGAGTTCAGCAAAGACACTCGGCCCTGAGCGGTCCACCTCGAGGTCCACGTCTTCTTCACCTTCATTCTTGCCGAGAAGAATCTGGATCTGGCGACAACGGCGCAATTCCTGTCGCAACCATCGCTCCCACTCGCTTTGGATCACTTCTCTCTCGATGCTGTTGACCACGCGGAGAGCTACCAGGAGATCGTGTCGGTATGAACCCAACCGTTCGCGCGTTTGCTGAATCCGTCGGGCTGCACTCCTGGTCATGGAGTCCCGGAACCCTGACGTTCCCAGAGAGATTGTGTTTCCTGGACTGCGTACGGTCTGCTGGTGGAAGGTTGCGAAACAATCACTCACGTTTTCACTGCCGTGGCCAATCGTTGTATTGGCGATCGCGTCGTCGATATCTCTCACGTAAATAGCTTTGGTCATGACGTTGTCGGGGCTAACTCCGATGCGGGCCATGAAGTTCCCAACAGTCCTGTCGTGCCACCATTCATAGGCATCGCGGGACGAATAGAACCCATTGATCAACATACTCGACAACAATAAGATGAGAATGACCTTGTTTGCGTGTGTGGTCTTCCACACCCAACGTAGGAAAGCGAACGTCCACATCATCAGGTCAGAAACAATGCTCTCAGTCAAAGACACACACGTCTCAAAGAGGAGCTGTGGCAGGGACCTCTGAATGCGAGGATTGCGCAGCTTCAATTGTAGGTCGGTTTGTGGCGAGAACTGGGATGAGAAATTTTGACGTCCAATGTGTCCGAAAATCGTAATGGCCTTCTTGGTGCGACTATGCGCGCCCAACCTGCGGACCTGGTCGCCAACTAGATCGACGAGATCCAACGCGTCTTGTTCCAAATCATTGGAGGCGCTTTTATCAATAATATCTATGATACTTTAGCAAGCGCCGATGGCTCTCCTAGGGGCAAGAACTTACGCTGAAGGCCGTATGGGGACCACAGCCACTCCACTTTAGTGAAGATAGAGAGCTTGCACTTTCCCTTTGCGACAAATGTAATCACAACCTTGCTGACGAGCCGGAAGGATCTCTTGAAAGGAAGATGCCAAGGCGTCCGCTTGTCTGTAATCACATAGCAGAGATGATCATTCAGGACATCAATCATCTGATAATCCGAGATCTCCTTGGTATGGGTACGTCCTAGACCGAGTTAGTGAAAACGATACATGGCATGCTAGGGTATCCAACGTACCAAGGGCATCAGCCGTCTCAATTTCATAATGGAAATCTCGTCTAAGATGGTTGGACTCTTGTCTGACCCAGGGTCCTTGTTTGATACCTGTACTCAGTTAGCAATGGCCAGCGTTAGCCCTAAGCTTGACTCACCCTTCGCTCTCCGTTGATGAAGGAGAAGCTGCCAGACGGCGCTCTTGTCTCCGAAAAGAATATGGAAGACCGCTTTAGCACTTGTATCAAAGACCTTTTCGGCTGCCAGATGAAGATCTCCTTGGGGTACATATTGAACAGGCTGCGTTGGTAGTCTGAACTTGGGAGTGTCTTTGCCATTGCCATTCTTCTTATGCATGTCCAGGTCGTTATCGATATAGACACCAACATCTTTCTTCGGAGGCTCCGTGCCACTGTCCCCTCCCTCAACATGATCGTCCCCAGCAGCTACATCCTCCCAGCTATCGAGGCTAGGAGTCCGCGTTAGTGCTTCACTCTCCATCCGGTTCAAGGTCTTGAAGGTTGCTTCCAGGCCCAGTGGCTCGGCGGCAGTCGAATTATGAATCAAAAAGTTAAGTCGCCGTTGAAGAAGTCGCAATGGCTCAAGGAATGTCTTAACAGTTCCACGACCCGGAGTATCGTCTCCTGGAGGAGGGATCATATGAAGATACAAAAAGTCACAGTCCCTTCCTGGGGCAGCAGTAACTTCTTTAATACTCTCCAATGAGATACACGTCGTGAGTACTAGACCGAAATGGTGGCTGTAGAAGTAAATGTTTTGGGTCGTAACGTAGGCCCTTCCGGGGAAATCTTGCTGATCGTTAGGATTCCAGGTAGCGCGGAACACCATAACCAGAGGTTCATCTTTTTTGATGTCAGGAAATAGCAGCCGGAACTGCGCATCCTGAATCTTAAGCTGCTGCGGGTAGTAACTGGGATAGTCGTGCGCATCGCCAAGCAATGCCCGCTGCATCTTGGACGAGTCTCCGTCAAGGCTCACCGTCTGCCTGTGACGTGGCCCAGACTTCGGCGGCTTATTCCCTGGGGACCCACTAGACGTGTCAGCTTCGGCTGTCAGGAAATGTTTAGATGGATCATTCGCTGGCGAGGCCGGTTTGTCTGAGGGGCCTGAGTCCTGCTCGCCAGGTAGTCCTATGCGTTCACGTTCAATCCGATTCATGAAGCCCCAGTTTGAACTACCCCACAAATTAGCCATCATGCCACTCGGCATTCCTCCGGTTTTGTCGGCTTGGCCCAGTCCTATACCCCTTTCATTGCTTACGATCACAGCGGCCTTGCTCATAGTTGTTGGGGCAGGTGGATTTGCCAAGGTGCCTGGGGCAAGAGTAGAGGGGGGATCGTTGCCAAATGTCGAGCTACGAGTCCTAGTCCCATCAACGTCGAGGGGCAAAGGGGGGCTGCCCGGCCCAAGAGCACTGTGACTGGCAGATATCAAGCTTGCTATGCCACCTCCAGCACCCGGCAACGAAGTGGACGGCGCCACTGCATTGTTTGATTTGCGGTGAAGGTCCAACTTCTGCATTATACGCGATGCGTGTTCGCGTGCGGAGCTTTCGGAATCCAGCGTCGTCAACCTCCTATAACTGCTGAGGTCACTACTGTTCCTCATGGCGGATGGGTCTCTTTCAGGTAGGGCGAGCATCCCGCTGCGATCTGCAGAGCTCTGCTCGTCACTGGCACGGGGAGTGAGCGAATCAGAAGGATCAGCAGCAAACTCGGGAGCCGGGGGCTGAGAGATTGCGAAAGCAGGATCCTGAACAGTAACTTTGCCGGACACTGAAAGATCAGTGCTAGCCGGATTTTCCAGAGCCTTCCGCTTGGCGGCCTCGAAGGCAGCAATCCAGTCCATGAGTTCTTTCTGAGTTTCAGCCTGGAGCATGATGGTATTACTCTTGGTTTTAACTTCGAAGCAAAACCTGCGCTCTTCCTGAAAGGCAGCCCGAACACTGCAGAGAAGGACGCCTATTCTTTCGCTCTCTTCAACGCCACCTGTTCGCGAGCCTTGGACAAGGCAGCCGAAAATGCCGTGTTTCAAGAATGCCCACCGTCTAACCCAGATAGTCCGGGTAGGCTTTCCAGAAAGAGTTCGCAGGAACACCCATCCTTGCTTCTCGGGTCTAGCCTCCTTGCTCATGCTGGTTGTCGACAGAGGCCGGGAGCCGAGGTAGGGAACAGTGGACAAAGAGTAGTCTTCTA